CAGAACGTGCTGGAGAGGGGGCGGGGGCTTATCTTCTCCATGTAAATACTGTGGTGGAAACGACTATGTCAAAATTAACCTATTTGACCGTGATTTAATAGTAATACACGTTTCAAAATAATAATAATAATAATAATAATGCCGAAGTAACAACATACTGAAAACTGTTAGTAAAACCATGTTTTAATGCTTTACAATTTACATACCTAGATGCACGTGTGTTGTGTTTATGCAGTGCAACTCCCACCCAGTGGGTGGCTATGTAGAGTGATAGAACAGAGCAGGCACGCCCCCGAGAGAAGAAAAGCAAGTCACGTCACAAATTAGCATTTCTAAAATGTTAGCTTGGATTAATAAAAGTGCAAAAAGACAGCGGTTGTCGCCGGAAGAAACTTCAAATACAGAGAATGCTGTGCCTGTGTTGGAAATTGTGTCTGATGAGGAGCTTTCTTTGGTTGATCCTCCTGCTCCAAGTTCTAGTGCATTAGCATTAGCACTAGCTCCGCCGCCTCCTCCAGAGCCTCTAACGTTAGCTGCTGCTGGCGCAACTGCCACCACCAACACCGGGCAAAGCGATGCACCTGACTGCTGGACAACGGACCAGGTGCAATATTTTTGCAAGACCAATGCATGGCTCCTTCTTAAAGATAAGAAGCTAGGATGTCGGATATGCAGAGATGTCAAATCTTTGGGAATACACACTGGACAAGGACTGAAAATGTCAACTGAATGGGGTGAGTGTGCAGTGTCTCATTTCGGTGTTGACAAGGGCAAACAACAAGCTAGCCTGAGAAAATAAATCAAAGAACATAAAGAATCACAAGCCCATGTAAAAGCTGCTGACATCCTTACATCTGCTTCACGTGAAACTATTCAACATCAAGTGCAGTCTATGCATAAATCTGAATTAGACACCACTATCAGAGTTTTTCGAACGGCATATACAATTGGCAAACATAGCCGGCCATTCACAGACATGCCAATTGATTTGAATGTACAGAAACTGAATGGGCTGAACGTGGGCAGGGTTTTGCACTCCAATAAAACCTGTGGTGAAATCATCGACCACATAGCTCATGAGCTGAAGAAAAAAATGGCAAAAGACATTACAGAAAACCAAAGAAAACTCTGTGTTTTGGTCGATGAATCTACCACTATTAGTGGTAAAACGGTGCTTGTTGTGTGTCTACGCTCAGCATTAGCTGATGCTGAGCCCGAAACTTTTTTTGGGAGCTGATCGAGTTGGATGGAACAACGGCTGATGACATCACAAAGGCGTTAATGGAGTGTCTTGGAAGAGATTTTAACGAGGACTTTTTAGGTCAGTGTTTCATTTCTTTTGCATGTGATGGGGCTTCAGTCATGCTAGGGAAGAGAACAGGCGTTGCTACCCAGTTGTGTAGTAAATTCCCAAGCCTGTTTGTGTGGCACTGCTCCAATCATCGTCTAGAGCTGGCAGTTGGGGATGTGGTCAAGGAGGTCTCAGGGCTCAATCATTTCCAGATCTTTTTTGACAAACTCTATTCCTTGTTCCATGCCTCCCCCAAAAATCAGAGGCAGTTAGCGCAGTGTGCGCAAGCAGTCGGACAGCGTCTCCTGGTGATAGGGCGTGTTTTGTCCATCCGCTGGGTGGCTTCAAGTGAAAGGAGCGTCAGAGCAGTCTGGGAAAACTACCGAGTGCTTCATGATCACTTCACAAATGCTGCAAACGACACGAGCAGGGATTCCAGAGACAGAGCAAAGTACAAGGGCCTGGATGATGTGCTCACATCTGCAATGTTTGTCAGCAATCTGGGACTGATGTACGATGCGCTCACAGAGCTCAGCGACCTCTCTCGGCAACTCCAAAAAAGAGAGATGACACTGCCTACAGCAGATAGGCTCTTAACTCGAGAAATACGAGTTTTTGAATCCATGGTCACCATGCCTGGCCCACACATGACTACAGTTCATACAGCTCTAGCTGAGAAGTCCTTCAAGGGTGTTGCCCTGCGTGAGAATGGCAGGCTTGTACAGATTCATGCAGGTCAGTTTTTCCGCAGTATGGTAGAGAATCTGAGACACAGAATGACTTCCACAACCTCCTCTCATGTAAGCACAAGAGAAATCCCATTACATGGCCGGGAGGCCCGGGACAATCAGCTAATCCAGGACATGAAAGTTATCCATCCTGGAAGTTGGCCTGAAGAGGAGTTAGACGTACAGTATGGGGACGTAGAGGTGCTACGTTTGTGCGAAGTGCTGAAAGTGGACAGAAGAGAGACTGTTCAGGGCTTTCGCGAATACAAGGAAACCAGGGCATCCCGTACACCTGCTGCCATGGAGCCTCTACTGAAAGCAGTCCGAACCATCGCTGTCTCCACTAGTGAGTGTGAGCGGGCATTCAGCTGCATGAACGATATCCTTACTGCAAAAAGGAATGCTCTCTCTGTCAGCCGACGGTCCAGCCTGGTTTTCATTAAATGTAATGGACCATCACTAGGACAGTTCAATCCGGAACAGTATGTGAGGTCCTGGCTGGCAAAGGGAAGGAGAAGTGCTGATGAAAGAGCCTGTCCAGCTCCAGCCCCTGATACTGATGTCCCCAAGGCCTTCTGGAGCCTTTTCTAACAATGTGAAGTATATTGCAAAGCAGCTCACCCAGTGAGAAGACTTTTGGCATAATGTGCCGATTTGTACACATCCTGGAGATAGAAGGACTTCAGACCAACCAGGGAGTTATCTGATCAGCTTGGTGTTCAATGTAACTCTTTACCATGGCTCAGACTTTGTTACTTGCAGTTACAGTTTCTCATTTTAGATTGTGCAAATTTTGCATTTGTTTTTACATGTTCTTTGTTCATGCTCTTTATCATTTTTCTGAGTTGGAAAGTTAGATTGCATCATAGTTTACTTTATACATATTTGTATTCTTCAGTGGTGAAGTATATTGCAAAGCAGCTCAGCCATGTGAGAAGACTTTTGGCACTTTTTCGTTTTTCGTTTTCTGAGTTGGAAAGTTAGATTGCATTCAAAATGTACAGAAATACTTAATTTTGTTAAAGCTTTTTATAAAAAATGCTTCTGACCAGAGCTTTGTTTCCTTGTCATTAATGTTGAACACTACCAGAGGGGCTCTCACCTGAAAGGTCTCTGCTTCACGTGTCTTCAGCAGAAGATCTAGACTTTGATTGCTATATTTTCAGTTAATATTGACCTTACTGAGCTTTAGCCATATCCGCTGCCTATCATAAAAAATGTTAAGTACAGTGAACCTTTCTAAAATATACAGTAGTAAAGAGACAAACCCACCAGCATTATAGTAGCCAAGTTCTTGTTTGTGGGCTGTATATATAAAATTGACTTGAAAAAGTTGCTGATTTTAGAGTACTGGCACCTTTTTCATTCCAATTCAAGCACTGGTCTATTCATCAATTATACACACGTTTCTGTCTGAGATAAACAGTGTGTAGGTATGGGTATAGGGAAAACAGTAAAAGAGGATCTTAATTGTGGTTTTCTGTGGAGAGTTGTTATGTTCTAACAACTTTTTTTACCAAAACAGTACCTGGACACTGACTTTATATTTAAGAATTGTGGATTTCACTGCCTGTTTACATCATGCAACATAAGATAAACAAGGAGGCATTGTGCTGGTTAGTGACATTTGTCTAACCATCTACCTCCTTTTTAAAGGCTCGTGGAGTTCCACTGCATTTTAACATGACAGCGCTGTGTATTGTTAATCACTGAAGGATAACCTTCTGAATTGTATCTGTGTTGATCCAACTGTATGGAAGCAAACAAGAGACAGAAGTATTTTAATTTTATCAGACACCGAATTGATAGCATTGAAAATAATTACTTTGAAAATCATGTATTTGAATTTTTTTTGCTCCGAATTTACCTATGTGAAATAAAAATGTAAAAATTCAAGTAAAAAAAATGTGAATGTTCAAATTCAGATCCCAAAAATTCAAGTGAAAAAAATTCGACGTCAAATATTGCGGTGTTTAAAATTCGATGTAAAAAAATTCGGTGTATAAAATTCGACGTCAAAAATTGCGATGCAGCATCATCCGGGCTACTCAGACAGGATAAGCAATCGAGTCCGAATGCAATCAAACCGACTTCTGGCCTATCAGAGCCAAGCGGCAAACCCCGGGACAGTGCGGTGAAGCCCAATGCTGCAAACTGTTGGCGATGGATGCAGATGGGAGCAATTCCCGTAGACCCTATGTTAAAATGTCCAACTTAACATCACAAAATGAACATGTTTCTAGCCTGGATCCACAAAAACATATTCTGTATATAGTTAGATTCCCCCTTCATGACAACGGGACTGCTGCTCCTAGCTCCTCTCTGCTAGCTCCGTTAGCTCCATTGGCTCCGTGATGCTACAGCGGCTCAGCTCATGAGGAGAACACTACTTGAACTCGGCCGTGTTTGTTGTGTTGGTTCCTGGTGGACTATTCGTTATGCAAATATAGGATTTATCTGCGGTTAAAATAGACCGTCCATGAATGCAGTTTCTTCGGTAAGTCAACCCTGCGTACTTTATGTTATGTTATTGGTGTTTTTATTAAGCTAACGTTAATGAATGTTTAGAGTTGGGTTAGCATTTGAGCAATCGTAGCTCCATCTGTATGGAATGCCATTTAAGCCAATATTAAATAAATAAATATATACATAAATAATTAAATAAATACATATATATATATATATAAATATGCCTATGAAATAAATTATAAAATAAATAAATTAGGCAATAAATATGTATACATGTACATTTAAATACACATTTATTTATTTCATGGGGCTTTTATTTCATAATGACACATTTATTTATTTCAAGAGACTTGTATTTCATAATGACACATTTATTTATTTAAAGAGACTCGTATTTCATAATGACATATTTATTTATTTCAGATGACTTGTATTTCATAATGACGCGTTTCTTTATTTCAAGAGACTCGTATTTCATAATGGCTTATTTCATGTGACTTGTATTTCATGATGAGACATTTCCATTCCTTATATGCAAATGAACGGGGCGTGGTTAGCTCACAGGTCCAGAGACCCAGACCAAAGCAACAGCACCACACTGACTACTCGAGAAGAGGAAGAAAATGGAGGAGAAGGACTATAAGGCAAACTACTAAATGAAAATAACAACATGGAAGACGTCGGTGGGCTCCAAGACTTAACTGGTTCTTATCTGGTCTTCTCTGGTCTTATCTGGTCCGCCCAATGCTGCTCTTCTGAGAGCAACCGCTCTGACAGCTCTCTCTAGTCTCTACTGGGAAACAGCTAAAAGTCCTTCTGGAGGTAAGCAACGCTACACAATTACACCCAGTCTGAGAGTAAAATATGTCTCGAAGGTTCGTTTTGCTTTCTTAAAACGTTAAGTTAATGTTAACGTAACCTTACGTTTGCTATCGTTACGAGCTAGCTGTCTTAGCTAACAACAGTTAGCAGCTAACGTTTTCTGCAGTTTGTGTTGCCCCTGAAAAACGTGATGTAGTTATTTAAGGGTATGTTAAATTAACGTTATTTTACAAGTTGAGAGAGTTAAGTTGTGTTTAAAATCGTCAATGTAATGCACGTTAGAGGTTTTGTGTTGGACATGAAGTTAGCTAACGTTAGCTAACTCCACCAGGTTAGCATGTTAAGCTGTACTTTTTGTGTCAGCTAGCTTAATACAAAGAGGGGTTTTGTGCTTCATTGCAAACTTTTCTTTGTTAATCTACCTGAAACTGTAGGGACAGTTTGTTTCTACTCAACTATACAGACCATTGTTGAGGAGATGCAAAACATAATGTACATGAGTTGGGTCCAACATATACCTTGAGTAATGTTACTTTGCTGCTAAAAATGAAACATCATTATCAGATGAGGACATCACCAAAGTGTGTGAGCCTGTCAGGGGATTTGATCTGTTCTCTGCATGTCCTAAACACTGCTCTGGTATTACTTATCTTGTAACATGTAAGTCTCCCGCTCTTGTCATCTTTCAGGCTTTGCATTTGAACTCCTATGACTGGTTGCGGACTTGAAGGGAACGCCTTCCTGACATCCAGGAAAAAGGTGAGATTATAATACATTTGAATGCCAAAAGCAAGTTATTGTTTTTAACTTTTGAAATATGATTGTTTTGGGGCATTTCAGTTTTATTGGACAGGCAGTAGAGATCTACTGGAAACAGTGGAGAGGGAGGAGATGATATGCAGCATACGGCCCAGCTGGATGGTTGCTGCTCCGTGTGGAACGTGTCCTATCAGGTAAAGCACTTTGGTACCCAGTTATTTATGGTGTTGAGTTTGAATTTAGCTTTTGGAATGTAATTTCCAACTGTGCATTGTAAAGACTGAAAAAACAGCCTCAGGTTAAAGCTTGACATGATTTGGTCTTTTACTTAAGAAGATGTTTGTCCTCCTGTGTTGTCTTATTTCCTTATCTTTCTTTCAGGTGTAACATCTACCAATGGTTGTACATGACAGAGACCTCCTCCGCCTCTTTGCTGTCTTACTAGTCAATCCTTCTGATCAGGTCCTTTCCTAAATAGTGGTAAGTTTTACAGTTCAGTGTACGTTAATTTAGTAACTTAATGCTTTACCGCTGTTGAATAAATCCTATATTGCTAGTCATTTTATTAAAACTACGATTTGTAAACTTTTTGATTCCAATTACAATAATCTTTTTGTTATAATTGTAAAACATATCTTAACATCCATCAGCAATCAATACAACAAATCATCCAACACTAAATAGAAGAAATCTGGACCTATTTTTATACAGCAGCATGTTTTGGGACTGCTCATTGATGTCATCAAGAGCCATTGAGTCTACCTTTTGTAGTCGGCCTCTCAGAATGTTTATCATTTATTTGTATTTTAACATTCCTATAATAATTAGTTTTTTTATTGTTTTGTTCTTTATTTTTGTTGTGAGAATCACTTTGCAATTATTGTGTAAGTGCTATATAAATAGTTATACTAATATTATTGTTGTTACTATTATTAATAATGTCTTCTTTGTTTTCTTTATTCATCGCTGCAGAAAGGATCATGCCAGCCCACATCAAACACCTGATCAAGAGCTTGTGAACCTCACTGCTGCAGACACCTGTGTGATATTCCACTCTGACTGGAACCCTCAAAATGACCTGCAGGTACAATATATATATATATATATATATATATATATATATATATATATATATATTAGGGCCGGGACTCGATTAAAAAAATTAATCTAATTAATTAGAGGCTTTGTAATTAATTAATCGAAATTAATCGCATTTTTAATCGCATATACATATTTGACCTGAGAACAGTGAGAAGCAATTTTTTTTCACATGGATTTTAGTATACCATTAGGCGCATTCACACCGCAGTACTTTTCCCACAAAGGTTCATGAGAATTTAGTTCATGAGAACTCTTTGAACCTGGGGGTGGATTACGCAAATGAAGCCGCTGACGTCACTTCTTCTTCTTCTGCTTTGGGTTTACTGGCAGGCCGCAAACCACTTCACAGCGTATACTGCCGCCCAAAGTCCCCGGCCGGAAGTCCCCGGAGTTGGGGACTGGCTTCAGTAGAAGCTGCTGGGAGTCCCAGCAGCTTCTACTGAAGCCAGTCCCCAACTCTAAATGCTAATAATGCTAATGCGAGGATAATAAAATGGCGGCTTCACAAAACTTTTTGGGAGTTTTACGGGGCGTGGTTTGCAATCCGCCCAGCCAATCAGAAATATAGCTCTTTTCTCACAAGAGAGCCGTACGAAAGTCCCTGCTCTCTAGCAGCTCTCTGCTCTCTAGCAGGGACTTTCGTGGGGGTAAAAAGGTTCTCATGAACTAATTTTAGTACCGGCTCTTTTTGGTGTGAACGCGATAAAAGAGGCTAACGTCCACGCTAGCTTCCACGCTAGCTGCTATATGTTTTGCATTGAGGTCATACTTGAGGCTTGATGTGCTGCGGTGATATGCGAATTCCTTTTTGCATAATTTGCACACAACCGTGCTCTTTTCAACGCTTCCATCCGTCCGTTTTTTAAAACAACATTTCCCACTGTTGTTCACTGTGGTTTGTTGTTGTCTGAAGTCATGAACGTTAGTTGGTGCTCCAGTATAATCGGTACGCCTGAAACTCATCCAGTGAGAAACGTTCCACGGTGCAAAAATAAGTGCGATTTAAAATGCGTTAATTTTTGTGTAATTAATTAATCTTAATTAACGCGTTAAAGTCCCGGCCCTAATATATATATATATATATATATATATATATATATATCTGCTCTGTCCGTCCTAAAGATAGTTCAATAGGGCTACAACAACAACAGTCTTTCCGTTTATTCCCTCGGTTCTTTAAGTGTATATTTTCCCATTTAATGCTTAAAAACGTTGAACAGCAGCTGCACATGATGCTCTTTTGACCCCTCTTTTAATTTTTTATTTCAGGCTCAAGCTCGGTGTCATCGTTTTGGCCAGTCTAAGGCGGTGGAGGTGTACCGTCTGATCACTAGAAACTATGAGAGGGAAATGCTGGATAAAGCTAGTCTGAAGCTCGGGCTGGACCGTCCCGTCCTGCAGAGCATGAGTGGCAACAACAACGGGGTGAGAAAAAGAAAATCTGTCATATTTCTAGATGCCAAGTCATCTTTGGGTCAGTCGCTGTTGCAGTACACTTAGTTTATTTTCAAAAAGAGTTTTCTAAATCCACTTGTGTAAATGTCTCTCTGCGTCGCCTTTAGCCGGTCCAGCAGTTCTCCAAGAAGGAGATCGAGGACCTGCTGAGGAAAGGAGCCTACGCCGCCATCATGGACGAGAACGACGAAGGCAATCGCTTCTGCTAGGAGGACATCGACCAGATCCTGCAGCGAAGAGCCACCATCAACACCATCACCAGGTATGTTCTTAGCAGCACTAGCCACTTGCGCTTTGTGTTGGTAACCAAGTACTTGGTTATTTGAAATGTAATATTGATGATGTAATAATTAAAACTAGGGATGGGTACCGAGCCCCAGTATTAACGGGGCCCCGGGGCTGAATTATTAAAGACCGTGGTACCGTTAACGTCCAATGTTATCAATCTTTTTATCGTTACGGGAGACATTTAAAAAATAGATGTCATATGTATTATATCTACATAAACATTATATTGCAGTCTTACTGCAACTCCGTTTCTAATATGCAATAAGACTACAAAGTGCGTCTATGATTTATTTTCGATCTTTCCAATCCAGACGAGATCTCTCTCCCCTGTCGGTGTGCGAGGGGGTGGGGCAGTTTACACACAGAACCTGCTACATGCATGCAACACACACACACACACACACACACACACACGTGCGCACACAAACACATGGCGGAGAGAACTAAGCGCCCCGAGGGTAGTTATGTTACCCGTCTTGAGCATGGATGTTTAATAAGAACTGGATACAGCATCGGAGGAGGGGCCTCGTTCTTTCCTATGAGAGCTGCTCATTGGCGCATGAAGTCAAAATGGCCCAACTTTTGAGAGAGCGAAACGTCACAGATTACCCGTCATGCCTGGCTGTCAGAGCAGAATAACCCGTTTGTGCGCTCACAGAGCATGCGCCCCTTAAGCCCCGCCCCCCGAGCACACACTCTCGGCTCACTAGAAAGAATGGAGAGAGAGAATAAATCTAGATTTGGCTTTTAGTGCATTTTACAACTTTAAGAACTTAATGATTCTAGGGCTATACAATAGTTCATACTGGGTAGTTTATTTAGTTTCAAAAAAAGTATCCACCGAGTTACAGACGTCTCTTTCCCAATGTTAGTCAATGGGAAAAAGTATTTCTGGGCCGGTCGACGTCACAGACTGATAAGGAAATTGTAGTACCGCCGTTTGGACACAACGAATATTTTCCTCAGAGTCCGGCACACTTCCTGGGGGCTTGGTCTTGAGGTGGAAAATGCTCGTTGCCAATAGTGCAATAAGAATTTAGCATGTAAGGGCGGTAACACAAGCTATTTGTCTAAACATTTAGCAAAAGTGCTCCACATTCAGACGGAGAAATGCACCGGGTTCGACTGTCTTTCTAGTAGCTCTGTAGCTCCATCCACGAGTAACGTTTCCACGTCAGGTATATATTATGTATGCTAGCAGCAACACACGGAGTTAACTCAATTATACAAACATGGGTTAATGATTAGAGGTAACTGAGTTATTTATTTTGTTAAAGTTACAGCTATTCTGTTTGCAGTTCTATCATCACATAATTGAATAAGATTTGTTAAAACATTGTTGTTTCTTATTTTCAGTTTGCTTCAAGCAGTGGCTGCACGAGAAAGACGTGGAGGACCAAGAAATGCTGGCCAGATTGGCAAAGACCGGAAGATACATAACAGAGAAGATAATGGATATTAACAAGAAAAATTAAAAAAATGTTTATAATTTCTTTGTTGCTGTTTACATTTTGAATTATATTTGTTATTTTTAAATCAAATGCATCTTTTTTAGATGATATATTTATTTAGATGTAGGTTTTTTTTGTAATATTATTGTATTAAGTATAATTTATTAAATAAAAATACTGTTATGAACACTATACAATGTCTTTATTTTGATAGTTACCAGAATACATTGTATATTTAATACTAACATAAGCTGGTGATAGATAAATGCTGGTCTGCTGGTATGCCAGCAGACAAATATTTATAAAGACAGGGTATGGCTGGAGTAGGCTACACCCATACCAAGAAATGGCTTAGCCCCACCATGAAAAATGATGTTAAAGTAAGCAAAATAAAGTCCGCCAACTGGCGCGGAGTAAATTGCACAGACAGCAGTTAGTAAGATTGATTTCAGTAGCCACTTGTCTGGAAATACGGAAGACCAGAAACGGTTTTGAAAACTTTTGTCACGTAGTGATCGTCTTCCCAATAGAACATATTTGATAATGTCTTCTGGCCAATCAGAATCAAGATAACGGCGTGGTGTTGTTGCAGGAAGTCCCGACGGAGAATACTTTAGCTGTAGTACAGGTAACACATAACTGGTACGCAGGTTATGTGCGTAATCTGAAATGCGTACCGTAGCGCCCCCCCGTCGACTTTCCTGAAGTTTCTACGTAAGATAGAAATCAATACGTAATGAATTAAGACCCCACGGTTTGATGATTGATAGGTGCTCTCTTTCATTTTGACACACATACATTTTTTACAATAAACATGTTAAATGGATATATCCGCCTTCTTTCATTTATCTTTCCATTCCCACAACAATATACATACAGAAATGACATATTTTGGACATAGTTCGAATGGTGATTAATCATGATTAATTAATTTTTAAGCTGTGATTAATCTGATTAAAAATTGTAATCGTTTGACAGCCCTAATTTATTTATTTTTGGATTAGATCATAGATACGTCCATGAGTTAAGAGATGGAATGATATGATGATTCACACTCATGTACAGTAGGTGGCGGTATGCACCTTAAAGTTGTTTGCAATCCGCCAAAAAACCGAGAGAAGAAGAAGTCAACTGGTTTGCCAACGGACAATTTACACCGAAGAAGAAGAAGCGAACATTTCTGGCGGGTGAAATTTAGAGTATCAGATTACATGCGATGTCTGACTCTGAGAATTTAGTAGTTTGCCATACGGCTCTGGTTTGCCTTATAGTCCTTCTCCTCCATTTTCTTCCTCTTCTCGAGTAGTCAGTGTGGTGCTGTTGCTTTGGTCTGGGTCTCTGGACCTGTGAGCTAACCACGCCCCGTTCATTTGCATATAAGGAATGGAAATGTCTCATCATGAAATACAAGTCACATGAAATAAGCCATTATGAAATACGAGTCTCTTGAAATAAAGAAACGCATCATTATGAAATACAAGTCATCTGAAATAAATAAATATGTCATTATGAAATACAAGTCTCTTGAAATAAATAAATGTGTCATTATGAAATAAAAGTCCCATGAAATAAATAAATGTGTATTTAAATGTACATGTATACATATTTATTGCCTAATATATTTATTTTATAATTTATTTCATAGGCATATTTATATATATATGTATTTATTTAATTATTTATGTATATATTTATTTATTTAATATTGGCTTAAATGGCATTCCATACATCTGTGCTAACGTTGCTATGCGTTTGATTGATTGATTGAAAAGTGTATTAACAGCTTGTATATTGGGTACAGTACAGTACAGCTCAAAACATACAATTGTTAAGGGGATGCAGACCAGAGAAAGACTTTCGTCTTGTTTACATCAGGGTCCCCCATTTCCAATTCATCATGTCATTTAAGACATATAAGACATATTTGACATACAGATGGCTTATTTACAATTTACATACAGGTGGTCTTTTACATACAGATTGCTTATTTACAATTTTCATTTTAGATTTCGTTCTAATACATCCTAACCGGACATTTAAGACATACCAAGTCTACAGATATACAGTTAGTAACAGAGTCTAAAATGCGAGTATATACATAGATGGGGGGGGGGGGAAGCTGTCCATTGAACGACAGGTTGAGATTTGTACCATTACCGGGGCCAGTTTTGCAATGCTCTCCCCCGAAGGTGCTCTTTAAGAGAGGTTTTGAAGGTAAGTATAGTTTTACTTTCCTTTACAGTTGTGGGAAGAGCGGTCCACCTTGATGTGGCATAATTGCGAAACGTGTATTCCCCCTTTTTTGTGCCAAATCTGGGTTTCACATGATTTGTGGAGCTCCCTCTGGTGTTATGATCATGGTATTCCTTGACCTTTGGGAAGAATTTTGACATGTACATGGGTACCATAGAGGTGTAGTGGATCTTGTAGACCAGGCCCATTGCAAGTAGCTGTACTCTGTCGTCTACTCTAAGCCATCCTAGGTTGTCAAAGTGGGCAGAGGTGAGGTGGGTTCTAGATGAAAGGTCAAGCAGTAGTCTGACCAGTTTATTTTGCGATGTTTGAAGTTTTATTTTTAGCGCCTTGGAGGTGCTATGGTACCATGACGTGCAAGCATAGTCATAGTACCCTTGAATGAGTGCTCCTGCCAGAGTTTTCAGGGTGTTTTTGTTTACCAGAGAGGAGATCCGGTATAGGAATCTAGTTCTTTGATTGACTTTTTTTATTACATTGGATGTCATTTTGTCACAGGAGTGGTTTGCCTCAAGAATAGATCCTAGGTATGTAATTTCCTTCTTACTTGTGACAATAATGTCACCCACTGCAACTGAGAAGTCGTCGGATTTGCTGAGATTATATTTCGAACCGAAGAGAATGGACTCTGTTTTACCCGTAGCATCAAAGAGTGTAAAACATTAAGTGGGATGCTACTGTATACCAAAAGGCTTCTGTGCGAGGTTGCTAAAATAAGGTCATCCTTGTACGTTAGATAGTTAGTTTGCTAGTTAGGTTACTGTATGCATTGTTAAGGTTCATTTAAATTCGCTATGCTCTACTATAGCATAAAATAGACTAGCTAACGTCAACGTTTTGTTGAAGAGAGGCTTAGTGTATATTAAATCAACCTCACAATGAAATGTGTGTATCTTTAAAATATGAACGTCACATTTCAAGATAATAACGCTCCCTTAGATATTGTAATATGGTTTGTTGAACTGGAGTTATTTATTGCAGCTAACCGTCTATCCGACGAACGACCCAAACATTGTTGTTTTTAATATTATTACCAATGCCTCTTTTAATTGTATTATCATCACACTTGAGAAACAGCCTTATCGTTGCTGTAGAACGGAACATGTAACTTAATTCCTGCATTTAAGGACGATGAATAGCGTAGTCAATGCTTTAGTGACAAGGAAATGGTTTGTTTAAATATTACATATGACGTTATCTGTGACTTCAGTGGAAATTAAGCTTATCCATTGCATTGCATTTGTTCAATAGGTTTGTGTCTTACCCTTACGTGTGTGATGCATATGAAAACAAATTAATTTGACTGACTCATGAAAACCTCATCCAAAGTAACAGTAAAATAAAAAGGACCTACACAATAATGCTCAATCAAACTGATACAGTATAAGGACTGTGATATCCAGCCATTTCTGAAGTATAACAATAAGATTATGATCTGTTTTTAAAAGAAGATAACAAGTTGTTTGCATGTAAAGAAGTCTGTAAGCCACGCATGTAACTTTACATCTGTTTGTTCAAAGTGTCCTCAAGGTGATCCAGACAGGCTGGACCAGAGGAGGAGAGACAGATCTGGAGTCCTAGCAGCAGAGAACTTCAGCACGGATTCCAAGGTACACCTTTTTCATGCTTTACAAAGAATGCATAAAGTAATGACTCCAATACACTGATATACATGCCATTAAACATGACTGAATACTAGATCACCTACACATCAGTGATGTTGAGTGTACTTTCTTAGAAAAAGGTTACATTTACATTTTACCAAGCAACATCACTTTTTTGTTCAACTTTCACATTTCAATGTATTTAAGGCAAATATGATTGAACATAGTGAGAGCTGCGACCCTTTGTCTCTGCATATTGACTGTAAAACAACATGTTGAAAGTAGGGATGCACGATATTGGTTTTTTGAAACCGATACCGATAACTTCCTGCTTCTCAAGACCGATACCGATAACCGATAATAATATAATATATATATATATTAAATGTACCTGTAGTTTTTGCACACCTGGTGGTAAAAAAAGACTAGTAGTGAGCAAATGACATGAGCATTACTACTATGAACAAAACAAAGCCAAGAACAGTTTTGATTCTCGTCAAGCGCCATCATTTCTATGATGAAGTTAGAGATCGTGTTAGCCCTGGGGTCGTCTCTGGCAAACTTCTTGCCTTTTTCAAAAGCCTCGTCGATAGGTAAAAGCCCCGGTGCCTTTGCAGCTGGCTTTGGATTCGCCACTAGTTTAGCAGCACAGGCGTCTTCCTACGCTTTTAACACACCATCGTAGCGATGGCGATGTTTCAGGTGACTAATCAGGTTGGAAGTATTATAGCTCGTTGCCTTTTCTCCCTCCTCGTGGAACTTCTGCATTGCATTTGTTAATACAAATAGCAAGCGAACTATCTAACTCTGAAACTTTGAAATAGTCCCATACTACCGGCGACATGTTTATTTACTGTCCTGGCTTCACGGCCGCACACCATTTATGTCACAGCCAGGCATGAGTTAGGGAGCGCTGGATTTGTGAAAAACTCCCCTCTTCCTTTAAACCACTAATACCACAGTACTGGCAAAACGGGAGGAGCCAAGTGAAAAACAAGCGCCCCTCATCCCAATCCACCCACACCGCAGTATTTTTTATTTTATTTTTTTTACCCAAAAAATATATTGTATATTATCGGGGCTATTAATACTGGTATCGGGTTTATCGGGATGACGTCATAATTCCTAATATCGGACCGATAATTATCGTGCACCACTAGTTGA